TAAGGGGCCTTTGAGGGTATTTTTGGTGAGCGGCACCCCTGCCTGGGCTCCGCGGGGGCCGACTGGATTTGCCCTTTGGTGGCATGTCAGTGAATTAACTGCTGTCCTTGGGACGACTGCCCAATGATTTGGCCTCTGGAGCGTCTCAGGTGTGCATTTCAGAACTCTTCCCATCTTCTCCACCTGTTGAAGGCATATTCCCCTGATACGGTTTGGCTGTGTCCCCACCCAAATCTCACCTTGTACTAATCCCCGCGTCATGGGCGGCACCAGGTGGAGGTACCTGGTCTCCTGCCAGTGAGTTCTCACGAGATCTGATGGCTTCTTAAGGGGCTTCCCCCCATTTCCCTGGGTGCTCATTCTCTCCCGCCAAGCTGGGAGGAAGGTGCTGTTCTTCCCTCTTCACGTGAACTGCCTCCATGATTGCAAGTTTCCTGAGGCCTCCCCAGCTATGCGGAACTGTGAACCAATTAAACTTCTTTATAACTTAACCCAGGTATTTCTTGGGTCTATCTTCACAGCAGCATGAGAACGGACTCATACACCCCCCACATAGAGTAGTGGGAGCGACGGGAGTTAGGAGGTCCCAACAGGGTAAAGGTGTGATAGGGTCTTGGGACAGAGCGAGCACTGCCTGAGAGAGGGACATGTGGATTGAGGAGTCAGAGGTGACATGGAAAGAACCGGGGGCTCTGCCAGGCATAGGTGAAGGAAGGCCGCTTAGGTACTGGCAGTGGGAAGAGAGAGCAGTGAGTAGCGGACAGAGGAAGCGAAAGCAGAACACTGGAGCACAACGCTGGGAGGCGAGCAGAGGTGGCTGGGGGTTCTCAAACGGTGCATTCTGGCATTTATGTTTTGAAAAATAATTTTTGTTCCTATTAATGCTTTTATAATAGTTGCAGGAAAGAAGAAAAAATATGAATTAGCTATTATGAGGCTTCTTTTGAAGTTTTTCAGTTCAGAAACATGTCCCATTTTACAAAGTAAGAAAAATCCTAAGTTAAAAAATGTGTGGAGGTCAATAATTGACATTTTAGTCTGACAAGACAACTCACTGGAGCTTCCTTAAAGACATACTAGAAATTCAGAGCTGCAGGCATTTGCCCCCTACCAGATAAACGGAAACAATATAAAGTGAGTTATTTCTTTTGAGACTGAGAGGTCGTTAGCTAATGAAAAAGGTATCTATAGAAAGAGGCATTCTTGATTTTTATCTACAAGACATAGCACTAAAAACCAAGAATGTCAGATGGGTACTATGTCTGTCCATGACAGAAAGGTACCAACCATATTGATATAATTAAGATTGGTCTTAGCAGACACTTCAGCAATAAATATAACCATCATAGTTTAACCTGCAGCAAACCAAATAAAATACATGAAGTGGAACAGAAAAGCAATGCAGGCAAAGGTGGGCAGATTGCTTGAGCCTAGAAGTTCAAGACCAGCCTGGGCAACATGGCGAAACCCTGTCTCTACAAAAAATACAAAAATTAGCCGGGCATGGTGGTGCACATCTGTGGTCCCAGCTACTTGGGAGGCCGAGGTGGGAGGATCCCGCGAGACTGGGAGGCGGAGGCTACAGTGAGCTATGATGGCACCATTGCACTCCAGCTTGGGTGACAAGAGACCCTGTCTCCTTAAAAAAAAAAAATGCTATGTGTAAATTTTTTTCCAATCCTCTTTTAATATAGAAAATGTTTTTTTCAAAATAATGTCTCACATGGAGTGACAATGTAAAAAACAAAGAAAATGGATAATTTCAAATTTATAAGTAAAATTAATATAAAGTCAACTGGCGATCCCATGGACGTCAAAATTTGCCATGTAACACATTTTGAAGAGGTGTTGCGTTTGGTCAATTTTTTTCCATCTTTAAAATTGTGGTAAAATACATATAAAATTTAGCATCTTAATGACTTTTAAGTGTACACTTCAGTGTGACTAAATTCATATTGCTGTGCAACCATCACGACCATCCATCTTGGGCCCCTTTTCATCCTGTAAAGCAAACTCTACATCCATTCATAACTCCCCTTTCTCTCCTCCCTCCAGCACCTGACAACTGCCATTCGACTTTATGAATCTGACTAATCTAGGTACTTCATGTAAGTGGAATCATACAATATTTGTCCTTCTGTGTCTGCATTATTTCACTTTGCATACTGCCCTCAAGGTTCATCTATGTTGTAGCATGTGTCAGAATTGTCTTTCAAGGTTGAGTCATATTCCTGTGTGTTGTATAATGTTTTACTTTTTCATCGATAGGCACTTGGAATGCCTTCTTCATGTTTTGGCTGTTGTGAATAATGCCACTATGAATATAGAGGTATGAATATGTGTGGGTATTTTTATAGGAATGTAACAACGACAACAAAAACCACACACTGGGCTCCATCATGAGCTCAGCTGTATGTAGGGATGGGGGTTGCTGGAAGAAGTCATGGGGCAACTGAAGCACATCTCTGGAAATGGTGTGTCCCTGGGGGACAGGTCAGGCAGGTGAGTCCTGCTCAGTTACAAACCTCAGATAAGCACTGACATGTTAGAATTACCGTGACACTGCTAGAAAAGAAAGGGTGCCTGTTCTGAGCTCTAGACACCCTGATTTAGAGTTTCTTGGCGAGGACTCTAGACATCTGCATGCTCAAAAGCCTCCGCCGTGGGTTCTGATTTGCTACTCTTGGGGCTGGGAACCACACAGCCTTGAACTTGAGAAGGAAGGGCGATCTTTCTTCTTAGGGGCAGAGAGTAAAAACACCAGATGCACTGTTTTTGTGGTGAAACCATGCAAGACCCTATGAGGCAAACTGGGGTGGTCCTTCAGCCAAGCAAAAGTGAGATGTTCTTCCCTCCTGCAACAAATACCAAGTGGAGCCAGCCGTACATGCCACAGTGTACGGGGGCTTTCACTCAGAGGAAAGTGGCTTATGAACCATCCCAGTAAGGCCTCCCAGAAGCACTGGGCAGAGGATACTTTGCAAACTAGTGGAAGATGGAACCAGGAACAAGGTTCAGTGACGTACTCGGTGAGGTCTAGATCCACCGTTAGCTGGATTTGTGACATAAAAACTCTCCATGTTAAAAAAAAAAAAAAAAAAAAAAAAAAAAAAACCAAAAACCTTTAAGGCAGGCAGTGTTCCCCATTCTTCTGGATTTTATAGACCAGTAAGTTTCAAGTAAATCTTCTGGGACAGCTGATTACCAATTTTTATGTAAGGACAATGAAAAAGACTAAAAGCTACGATCTACCATCAGTTCACAAAAGAGGCTTATTTTGATATCATAAAGGAGGGATAAGTCAGAATTTAAAAACTGCACGCATTGAGCTTTAATCAGAAAATAACCCTGTATTTCCTGTGGCTTTCTCATTTTCTGTGGACGAATGAAACGTTTATCATCATCTCTGCAAACGAAGGCTTCTTTGCCTTGAATACTTAGGGGCAGCTGTACCACTTACAGGTGTTTTGTTTATTTCCTTGAAGAGGTGTTTTCAGGGTATTAAGGAAACTCTGAGGAATTCAAGTGCAAACATCTCTTGGTATCTTGCCTCAGTTTCCAATATTAATAGCTGTGTGGTGAGTGCTCAGCCAGAAACAGTATCATTGCTTTGAAAAGAAGTCAAAAAAAGATTGTGGCAAGTAGAATCATGGAAACTCAAAGCTGGAAGGTTTTCTCAGCAATGATCTCACCCGTGTGGTTTTCCAACTAGTGCTCCGTGGAGCCACAGTAGTGTTGCTTGAATCAACAGATTTCCATTTTAACTGTTATACTAGTTAAGTTTCTGATTAAGATACAGTTCAGTTGCTTTTCAAAAAAATGGCTACCACTGATCCAATCCATCACCGATTTAAAGGGGAAATTAAGGCTAAAAGGAGGTGAGGGATTTGCTTGAGGCCGCTCATTCCGTTGGCAGAACTTGGCGACACGTCACCAGTGGAATGGGGGTAGGAAGAATCCTGTCAAACCTTCCTCGTGTCTGTTCTCAGGTCATCAATGGTTGAACCAAATCTTTCTATCGCTCCATTGCGGGGAGTCCACGCCACCTGACAGCTTCCTTCTGAAACAGACGGGCTCCTTTTCGTACTGGACTCTGCATTCTACCTGGCACACTTCTGTCCATGATAATAGCGATAAATATTTCACTGACAACTGCAGGAAACTAACGTTTAAACTCCAGTTACGCATTTTTGCTCCCATTTTTTACTACTACTGTTAAAAGTTTCCTTAACAGCGTTTCTTGGCCGGGCGCAGTGGCTCACACCTGCAATCCCAGCACTTTGAGAGGCTGAGGCAGGCAGACCACTTGAGGCCAGGATTTCGAAACCAGCCTGACCAAAATGGCCAAACTCCATCTCTATTAAAAATACAAAAAAAAAAAAAAAAAAAAAAAAAAAAGGCCAGGTGTGGTGGTACACACCTGTAATCCTAGCTACTCAGGAGGCTGAGGCCTGAGAGTCTTTTGAACCTGGGAGGTGGAGACTGCAGTGAGCTGAGATCATGCCACTGCACTCCAGCCTGGGACAGAGTAAGACTCCATCTCAACAAAATAGAACAAAACAAAACCGTACTTCTTCATATGTGAAGAGTATAGAGCTAATATTTACATGAATATCACTATTTACAAGGCATTAACGTTTGCACTACATTGTCTAGTATGTAAACTGAAATGAAGTGGTCTCTCCTTATCAGTACTCCTCAGATAGCTGATCATACTGTAGACTGAAGGAATCTACAATCAAGTCTATCACAGACTATACCACCCATTCGTTGTGTAGAAGGCCCCTCAATGGCAAAACGTAGCATTTGATAAGTCTGGACACAACTCGGCTGCGCAAATAAACTCTATATAACTTAAACCAGTGTTTTCGCACCGTGGTTCCTAATCATGGGCCATGAAATTCAATTCAGTGGGCTGAGAGCTTTAACACACACAAAGCCATCCCCCTACCAAACACATTCCTAGAAGAAAAAATGTCAAAGCATGTCACATGCCCACAAGTAAATATTTCATAAACATTTTATTTCAATCATATATATATGTATGAACACATGTACTGAGTCATGATATAAAATGCATTTTACAGTTCTCTAGGGCAAAACATTGCTTTAAAGAAAAGCATACTCGGCCAATCAGTCCCTTGGGAAGACTTTTTTTTTTTTTTTTTTTTTCCACTTCTGAGCAATGACTCCACATCTTGGTACACGGAAGCCCTCTCTCAATTCGGTAGTAGTGCTCTGTAGCACAGCCAGTTCCCGGCTCAGGCCGTTTTCCGGAGGGATGCATCCTTCACTCGCGGCCCTGTGAGATACCTGACGGACTGCTGCAGCGGTGCATCTGAACCTGTAGCAGAGGCAGCTCAGGTCTGCCTACAGCGTGCACGCATGACGCCAGGGGCTTTCTGCCGTGATTTTTCACTGACATGATTTCCTTTCATTCACCTGTAGGAATGGTCTAACCACTGATGACCTGATGTACAGGCCTGACATGTACATCAAGCTCCTAGCACAGAATACAGGGGCTGAGTGAAAGCTTCTGAATACTCAACAGTGAGCACATTCATTTTGTTATAAACCATATAAATTAAATTCAAAATGTAACAGTTTCTAACAAAATACAAAGTATACTCATTTCTTCATACTTAAGAACTACAAAAGTACTATATAAACCCTTATTTATATTGATTAAATCACAATAGGTATATAAAAAGTTGAGGCACTGGTGTCTGTGGCTAAAGGTAGTAATCACATCTCATACAGTAAAATGTTTTAACATTAACCTTTAAATTCTGAGCTGTTGCAAAATCACTATTTTAAGACCATATATACAATATATATCATATATTTAGTACTAGTTATGACTTTTTTCTAAAATAATAGAATATGATATCCAGGGAAAAAGAAAATACCTAATAACTTTCCCAAGTGCTAGTAAAAAAACACATCAGTGTACACCGGATTTGAGGGTGGACATGATTCAGCCAGTGAGTCACTGGGAGAGCGGAGCAAAGCTTTTTTAAACTGGAAGGGCACTCACACTGATTTGATTCAGACCCTTCATCTTTCATACTGAGAAACAATGCTCACCAGGGCAAGTGTCACATCATTATGTAACACAACAAGAAAGATGCCCCAGGTCTCTTACTAACAAACCTAGAATCTTTTCCATTTCATAGCAGAGGTTTACACTATAAATATAATTATATTCTTGAAAGATCAAATCAAATATCAAGCAAAACAAATCCATGATAATACTTCAGACTTTAAAAAATCCTAAAGCAAGAATTTAATAAAAATATATGTCAATGACTGTGTTGAAGATAATTAGTGTGGAATACAGTGCCACAGACAGTGACGGCAGCCATTCACTGGTACGGTAATTCACCTATATGCTTATATAGTACTCTGTGTACTGGTTGTGTTTTCATCTGTATCACTTGAGTTAAACTTCTTCCATAAAAATTTCTCATTTGATTTCCAAAGAGAAGTTGCTGGCTCTTCTCTCCTTGTGGAGGGTGCTGCTAGAGGTGCTTTTTCACACAGAGTCTCTATTACTGCCAGGTCTGTGAGTTTACAAAGACTCTCGTCATTCTGCTCATTCAAGATGTCCCAGAAATCTTTTGGTCTCTGTTTTGCTTTTTCCATGGGCCTTGAAAGAACTTTCTTTGGTGGTTGCGTGGGACTGTTGCCGTGACTTTTAAAAAGGTCATCAAGAATAGAGGTATCACCAAGTAAGCTGCTCACAGAAGTCTTTTCCAGCACAGGATTTTCTATCTTTTTGTTTTCCAATTTGAGAAGGGGTTCTTTTCTTGAAACGCCCATTCTCGTGAGGTCCTGTGGGTCTTTCACGGTATTTTCAAACCTTCTCTCACGTGCTTCAGACTCACTGTTCAGAGAACGGGATGTTGCAGCACCTTCAGATGCTTGGCTGTTTTTCGCACTGTCAATCTCTCGAGTAGAACTAACAGGTGATTTCTTAGTTTCTGCATCATTAGAAAATACCTCTTCTCTACAAGAATGACAATTTTGAAACTTAATTGACTTTCCTTTATATGTTTTTGGGCAGCCAATTTGAGAAATTTTGTTGGTAGAATCTTTAAACGACAAGGTTTCAGAATCTGACAGCCTTGCTTTCACGAGAGGTTTTCTTTTTTCAGATTTCTTTCTGATGCGCTCTCCTTTCTCAAAGGCAGAATTGTTGAATTCTGATGCAGAATCCACAAACAGTTCTTTTACCTCCGGATACTGAGAAGCATAAAAGTCCCTTAGCATTTTCTGTCGTTCTTCTGATGTGGCACTGGTTATACGTTTAGCAAATTCATTTACAGAAGACGAGTTAAAGTGAGAGGCCATTTCTTCAAATTGTTTTCTAAAGATTAAATGAACAAAACTGGTAGTTAGTTTCATTACATTTTATGTTGAAAGAACTCATCATCAGTAACAGGAAATGTAGAGCCCAAGGAAGACAATCTTGCTCCTTTAGCATATGCCTGCTGAATTCCACAATGAAAATGCATTTTATCCTAGTAGAATGAGGCCTCTTCCCTCACGCTACTGAGAAAAGTAATTTAGCTCATGAAATCGCCAGCTTTGTAAGTTATTTTGATTTATGCTATTACATTAGGTATTTCCTGGGAATTACGGAGGCCCAGCATGCTACGCCTCCAGTGATCCCATTTATGACTGACACGAGGATCATGATTTATAGAATCTGTACTTGAAAATCTTAAGAAATAAAATTGTCAGAGAAGAATCTTAACTAAAAGAGCAAATTCTGAAAAATTAAGAAAGACGCTTGCTTTCCCCTTCCCTCTCCTTGCCCCCTTCTACAAATACAATGTAGAAATCGCACAAGACTTTTTGATGAGCCCAAAGGCAAGTCCTAAACTGATCGACCTAGATGACTTTTCCCCAGTTGATATAGACACCTAAGTTAAGAAGTGAGATGCTATTAGAAGTGTATTGTATTGTTAGCGTAAGATACTAATAAAAGCTGTTGTATGCATGTATGAGAAAATGGGCCTTCAATAACCTTGGTACGATCGAGGCAGGAAGATTTGAGGACGTGGGCAATGAGCCCTGCTCCTTTCCCTAAATGAGGGTGCTATAGACTAAACTGCACCCAAATCACGTGACGCTCCCTAACCAACAACACGACAATATTTGGAGTTGTGCCTTCAGGAGGTAATTAAGGTTAAATGAGGTCAAAAGTGTGGGGCCCTGATCCAACAGGATTAGTGTCCTCAGAAGAGATGCCAGAGAACCCACACAGTTTTGTTCTCTCCTCCCTCTTCCTCTTTGCCCTGTGAGGACACAGGGAGATGGTGGCCACTCGTCAGCCAGGAAGAGGGCTCTCACCAGAAACTGAATCAGGTAACTTCTTACTGTTGGCCATCCAGCCTCCAGAACTGTGGAAAAAATTTCTGTTGTTTAAGCCACCCAGTCTACAGTATTGTGTTATCACAATCCAAGCAGACTAAGACAGAGGGTATTGCTTTGCTGATGATGAGTTGAGGCCATGAGACAGGACAGCTCCATGTTTATAAATACTCCTTTGAACAAAAGTCATAGATAGTGAGTGTAGCAGCATATGATTAAAAGTTCTAAAGTTTTAGAAATTGTATTTCATACCATAGTTCCTTAAAACATTCATTTATTCACTCAACAAATGTTTAGAGCCTGTTACGTGCTAGGCTCTATAGCATGAACTATGTAACAGCAAGTAAGACTCCGTTTCCTATCTTTGAAGAGTCTACAGTTTACCTGCCGGAGACAAATGCCTGAAAATCAAACTAGAATAGAGTGATAAACCCAAAATGTAAATGTACTATGAGGTAAATATGGGGCTCTACTGGCACTCATAGAAAGGGAGCCTAGGTTAGTGACTGGTGGTAGGCAAGGTGGGTAGAAAAGGCATCTCTTCCTGACAAGTCGGGCAGGTAATGATGAATGAGGAAGTCTCCTAGGGGGAGGGGGCGCATGTACAGGCTCAGGCCCAAGATAACCTGGTTCGCGGAGGCGCAGGAGAAACTGCAAGGAAGACGCTAAAAATCACAGGGGGTCTGTGTGCCAAGTTCAGAAGTTTGAATTGTATCCTATGACAACCGAGAATCCTTAGCATAAAACAGTAATTTACTTTTAATGTACGAAAGTAGAAGCTTCAATGCCACTTTTATTTTTTTGACACGCAGACCAGGTTATAATAGCTTGTGTTTCCTTTGCCGTTAGTGGCAGACCGTAAAGCATGCTCACAACTTTCCTTTGTGGCCTCAGATGGGCCCATGGCTTCTAATCCTCACTACACTGTCTTGTTAACTTCCCCTGATCCAGATAGCATACATGCTTGATCAGCAGCCACTCTCATCTCATAAATATAAGCAGAATATTTAATAACACATACACAAGACACCAAATTTCTGTCCTGGAAACTGCCAACGTTCTTGCTGGACAGTAACAAGCATGTTTTTAAGAGGTTCCAGTTTTCATTTCACATGAAGTAATGAGATATTACCGTTTATTAATCACCTCCAAATCCATTTTCATGGACATTCTAATAAATATTTGTGCTTGTAAAGATTAAGTGATTGGCAAGGTTACAAGCTGATGTCTTTTATTTATCCAAGACTTGGGGTGTCTCAGCAGCTGCCAAAGTAACTTCGCCTCTGCTGTGCCGAAACCGTGACCTCTTCCGTAACCCGTCGCCTCTGGGTGCAGAGGTGCTTCTCACCTCATTGGATCTGATTAGTCTGCAAGTACACTATGCCACGTGGTTGTTGCTTACAGGATAAGCTGTAATTATCACTCGTTTTATTTTTGCCGTCCAACTGGCTTTCCTAATTCTGGGCCTTCAGAATTTTCTCTAAGAGTGGAAGAAACTACAGGGGACAACCGGAGGGCATGAGGCAGCCACTCTGTGAAGAAAAATGAGTCAACGGAAGTAGATTCCATAACCCACTTCGGGAAAGGGGAGAAAAAGGAAACCAAAGATACATCTCTTTCAGCACGTGTGCCAAAGCAGTTAGGGGTCACGGATGTGATTCATGATCCCCTCTCTTTCCGGAGGAAGTGGGGTGAAACGCAGCTCACTTCATCCTCTGTCTGCCTAAGCTTCTGGAAGAAGAGGTGGGACTGAATGCCTCAGATGATCATGTGACTGCAGCAGAAGGGGGTACAGTCTGGATTCTGATTGACTAGGACGGTTCATGGAAAAGAGGGTGGAAAAATGTCCATGGTCAGACGGTTTTTAATTCTACATCCCTAACTGGTAACCAAAGCCAGTGAGGCACATAGTGATTGAAACACTTGAACTTGCCACTAGAACTCAACAAAGCTGACGAGCCTGTCATTGCTCAGCCCATGGCTCAAGATGTGTACGCAGAATGCTGTACGGCATGGTGTCCATTCCAAAAGCAAACTCCCAACCATTGCAGGTGCTGTATCAGTCACTTTCACAGTGCTGACTGCAACGTGTGATCTGGTGCCCGAGCTGAAGGACTTCATCAGGCCAGACAGACCCACTGTTGGAGAGCAAGGCAAGACAGCGCCATGGTGCCTGACTACGAAAACATGAGTAATGCTACCATCAAGCGCAAGGTTGTGAGGGATGCTTTCTCGCTGAGCTATCATGCTGTGTGCAAACTCACCTGTAACCTGATGCAGCAGATGAGCAAAAGATTCAGTGCCCCACTCTCAGGTGCCAGGAGGCACCACAGCCTCCATCAACTCAGCCCGGCATGTGACTTCAAAGAAGCCACAGCATGAGTAGCTACCAAGGGCCTTGACATCAAGATAACACGATTACTCTTTGCAACTTGGTGCCAACCCGAACCTTCGGGTCACTGCGTGTGCCTTCATAAGTAAGTTTAAGCTCATCACAACCTTTTCTGAAATGACCTCAAATGTTACAATGTGACGTTTCATTGAGGAAGGATTCAGTCATGCCTCACTGTCTCTGGTATAGGTTGTGACATAATGAAATTCATGAGTGTTGAAGGATGACTCACTGAGAAACACGGGGAAGAACTCTTTCCATTTCTTAGAATTATTCTGACTCAGAGGGCACAAAGAATTAGCACTTGCAAAATTCCCTAATCTTTGTAAGGTCGCAAATGCATGGATACCTCTTTCAGACACTACAAGTCAACAGAGGAGTGCCCTTCCAAACTTCCTGATGATGATGTTGAAGAGGCAGTTTCAAAACCACCTCTCAAGAAGGCACTGACGAGCAAAGAAGGTGAAGGACAGCTGATGCCCATTCTCCAACTGGCCGTGCCAGGGGGCTGGGGGACCAGCTCTTCCCTGGGCAGCAGGGGAACCAGCTGCCTGAGAGTTGCCAAACACCCACAGAAAGTATTTTGTACCCACCGAGCCTGAGACATTTCCCACTGCCCCCAGAAGCCAGCAGGACCAGTCCGACCACGCCTTTCATCCCTGTTAATCTCAGTTATTCATTACCACTGGTCTCTCATCCCCTCCTACTGTATATCTTGATCTAATCCAATCCTCCACCCTACCAAGGCTTCCTTTAGTGCTCCTGGAACCAACAGCCCTCCAAGTCTTCTGCTTCTACGCTGAACAGTCCTGTGCTCTGATGATGCCGCCTCTTCCCATGCAGTCCTTGCAAGGCAAGGCTGTTCCATCCCACAGCTCTCCAAACTCAGAGTTAGTGCTTCTAGACACTGCTGCTTCCAGATCATTCTCTACTCAGAAAACTCCTTCCCCTCTTTAATGTTTATGCCATCCAGCTAAACTGTTCTTTCCTCAATCTTAAGTGTGCCCTTCGTTGCTTCCCGCTAGCAGCTAAACTCTCAAGATCCTGGATTAATCTTGCTTCCCACTCCATCTCCTGCCATCATTCTCGGTAACATCAACATCCATGCGGATGTCCCACCCAATACCTGTCCCACCACTCTCTTTGGCTCACCTCCAAACTCACCCCAACTCCACGTTGGCCCCTGCTCCCAAGGTTATAAACTGCCATCGTCATTACCATCAGCAGCTCAACCTCTATGCCCCTGACTTAGGCATCTCACGCTCCAGCTCAGCTGCTTGATGACCACCCACAGTAGCAATGCCCGGATATGCTGGCGACCTCAAATCCTCAAATCCACTGACTCTTGTGCTTTTGCACTATCCACCGGCCTCCCCTGTCCAGCTCAGGTCTAACCTCACTTTATAATCGTTCCTTTACATTCTTCAGCTTCCTTGCTTCTCTCTCCCACCATTCTAACCCCTGGCCAGACCCAGCCATTTCTCTACCTGTGTCGGCAACAGAGCAACTGAAGCTTGCTGAATAAAATGTGAACACTGGACAGATGATTTTCCTGAAATTATTCTCACATGGGAACGTAACGCCACCCAGAAATTCTAGTCCCATTAAGCTTGCTTTCCTACTTTAGGAATGATTTGTTTCCTAACTTCTCTCGCCCTACATCTTTCTCCCTCTGAACTGACGGCTTCAGTTCTCAATTCACTAAGACAACGTCCCATCTGTGCCTGTGTTTGTCCCTCCGCTTTCAGTGCTTCTCAAAGGCCAGGCCGTGCCTATGGTCTGGGCACCGCCCTCCGCCGCTTCCAGGCCTTCCCTCTTTCAGTTTTCACTCTCTGGCATGATCTCCTTTTGTCCTATTATGAGTCTTTTCCCTCAACACAGCAGGTTCTGTTACCTCCTCAACTGTAAGACCCCACAATGCCCTCCAGCTACTGCTGCGTTTTACGTCCAAACTTAACTGGCAGCCACTTCCTGTCGGGGTCTGCCCACTGCTTCCATCCAAGCTTACAGCGCCGGCTGCCTCCTGCAGAGCCTGCCAACTGCCTTGCAGGTGGCTCCTGCCAAGGTACCTGCTGAGCGCTCTGCTGCCACCTCCAGTGGGCAGTTTCCCACTTCATCCGCTTCTGGTTCTCTGCAGCATTTGATAAAGTTAAGAGCCCCCTCCTTTTAAAACCCTCTCACTACTCCTGGACTTCAGAACCCAACACTGCCTCTTACGCCGCCTCCAGTCTCTCCTGGGGCTTCTCTCCTCCTCTCTGCGTTCTGTTCCTAGGCTGCTCACACAGTCTCACGGTTCTGAAGACCATTTATTAACTCCATGCTGATGACTCCCAAATTTAAACCTTTAATCCCCAAATCCAGAGAAACATACATACGTTGCCTATTTGACCTTTCCAAAGAATGTCACATTTAATATAAGCAAAAGGGAACTCTTGACATGTTTCCTCTCTGAACTTGCTTCTCTTGGGTTTTCCTCATTCAGTACCTCCACTCTGTTGCTCAACACCGAAAGAAGTAATCTTGATCTCTCTCTTTCCCAAACCAGTCCGTCGCCAAGCTGAATTCATCCACTTGACTCTGTCCTCAAGGCAACCACTCTGGTGCAAACCCCCTCACCAAGTGCCTTCTCGTCTCCCGTATCCACTCTGCCCTCTTCCACAGGGAAGCTGGAACCATCTTTTAAAAAGATACATAGCTAGTGCCATCCTTCAACAGTTTTCCACTGCACTTAAACAAATCCAAACTCTTTCCGTAGCCTCCAAGGGTTTACAAGCTCCAGCCCCACCTGCGTCTCTACCCCCATCTCGTGCTACTTTCTGGTTGGTTTATTCTGCACTAAGGCCACAGTGCTCCTCTCAGCTCCTTGACCACACCAAACCTCTTCCCTCCTAGGAGATGCTCCTACTCTGGTTCTCTGCACGGTTATCCTTCAGCTCTTAACTTAAATGCTACCTGTGTAGGGAGTCTGTCCTGACTTCCCAAAAGAAAGGTGGATCCACGTCCCCTCCCCATCCCATTGTTCTCTTTCAGGGCAGCTTGTCCATTTTTTTCTTCTAACGTGCCATTTTGTAATTATTTGTAGGTTTACTTTTTAAAATTTTATGGTTTGATGCCAGCCCCATTCCTCTGTACTGGAGGCTCTGTGTCATTTTTACACAGTATCGTCAAGACTCAGCACAATGCCTAAGTATATATTAGGTGCTCAAAAAATATTCAATGACTGAATGAATAAAATGCGCTTAAGTATTTCATTTCTTTGTATAACATGATATCCCCTTTTTTTGGTAATCAATTCAGGGATTGGCCTTCTAACAACATCTAAAACATCTGCAATTTATTTTTGAAATTCAGATTTTTCTGAAATATTCCGATCTCGGGTATGGTTATAACTCAAATATTTGTATATTTTACTAAGGAGCTACATTTCTTTTGAGATTTATTCTTCAAGTCTAGTGTTGTCAGAGACAACATACCTGCGGATTCCTTTTGGTGTTTCTCCAATTATGAAGATGGTCTGGTGTGTACGGTAGACTTTTTTCTTCTTCTGGCTTACAGGGTGTGAAATATAAAGAGGAAGTGAAATGCTGCCTTCACTTGGTTGCTGGCCTTTCTTTGTGTGTGGCAATGTATCTGCATCCACTTTTTCTTTATATGTCTGAAAAAAAGAAAGGAACCAAAAGCTATGTCTGAAAAGATAGTTATTGTTTGTCAAATGAGAATGTCTTACTTTTTTCCAATACTCTTTATAATGAAGTAAATAATATTCTCTAACTGAAATCATTGTCAGAAGATGTTAACCTAGATCTTTAAAAAGATGACACAGGCAAAAGTTACTTTTTTTATACCTTTCTTTCAGCTATAAAAGTAATGGCAATAATATGATATTTTCATTGTCAAGACTGTGGGCATACTGATACATATGTTGATATCTACTGTACCAAAGGATAAAAATTAATGATTATATACACAATAGTATAAACATGTGTCCTGGGGCTTCTCTTCTCTCTGTGCTCTGTTCCTAGGCTGCTCACACAGGCTTGTGTGTGAGAGCAAAAAAATTTCTAATTTAGTAACTGCAAAATTAACAAGCAGTCTTTCAGTCATCTAATTTCATATAATAGATAAATGTAAATAATAAATAAATAAGAAACCATAAATCTTACATTTCAACTTCCACTGGGTTGTTAGAATATTTAGTGATTTTGAGATGCTAACTACAGTTGGCTGAATTACAGATGGAATCACACTCCTTTTACAGAGACTATGGATTGCCTGCCTAACATAAATTTTACTGACAGTGAGCCAAGAAAAAAAAAAATAGTCCCAGTTTTCCTGACAAGACAATATGGCATAAATACGCAGAAAGTCCTCATTCAATTCCAAAAAGAGAAATAGTGGATACAATTTAACAATAACAACAACAAAATTACATTGGAGCTCAAAAGCGAGAAAACATGTCTAGGTTCCTCAAACGAGGAAGTCCCACAGTGGTGAGTGAGAGCTGAGGCTCAGCGGCCCTAGGGGTACGGCCTTCAGTTACAGTCTACAGCACACGTGTGTCGAGGGGAGATGGAAATGGTTTAACTCCCTGCACTAAACAACAAAGAAACACCAAACACAACAGGAATGAGAAGGAGTGTGATGTGCAAATTAAGCCAGGAAAGCCAAACCTGGGCTAGAAGCAGGCCACTTTCTTACTCTAGATAGAATCACTGGTGACAAACAGGAATGCCCAGTTGGTGCCATGTGTGGAATCTGACTTTGTACCATTTGATAGTATGGAAACTCTAGGCTGAAAATCAACATAAGAAATGTGTCCAGAACTAGTGAAAACCATAGATCTCAATGAGGGTTGAATAAAAACACACCATAGGAAGACTATCATAATCCAGAGAATGTTTTTGATTCCAGTGAGAACAGGAGGAGTTCGGATAAAAATTATAAATAACATATAAAACCTACCATCATGAAAATGAGCACATGTAACAAGTATAAGAAATGAAATCTGAGGAATTATCTATAATAAAGCAATCTGAAAGAGGAATTTATTTATGAATGAATAAATGAATGACAGTCTTGTTCTGTCACTCAATCTGGAGTGCAGTGGCATGATCACAGCTCACTGCAGTTGATAAATTGGAAGAAAAAATTACTCAGAATGAAGTGCAGAGATTAAAAAAATTAGGAAAGTTAAGAGACAGAAGACACACTAAAGTTTCTAAAATGCTAAAAGGAGAAAATGGAAGAGATAATGCCAAAGAGATGATGGCAGAGACCTATAAAAGAAAGGAAACCTCAAATTGAAAAAGAAAATCCCTAGTAGGAAAAATAAAAATAAATCTGTATTTTGTTATATCACAGATAAAGGTTATACCTTAAAAATTACCAGAGAAAGAGGATAATATCCTACAAAGAAATGCCAAATCAGGCCAGGCACAGTGGCTCACACCTGTTAATTCCAGCACTTTGGGAGGCTGATGCAGGCAGACTGCTTTCAGTCCATGAGTTCAAGATCAGCTGGATAATGTGGCAAAACCTTTCCTCTAAAAAAAAAAAAAAAAAAATTCAAAAAGTAGCTTGGTGTGGTGGTGTGGCCCTGTAGTCCCAGCTACTCCAGAGGCTGAGGTGAGAGGATGGCTTGAGCCCAGGAAGTGGAAGTTGCAGGGAGCCAAGATCATGCCACTGCACTCACTCCACCCTGGGTGACAGAGCCAGATCCTGTCTCAGGAAAGAAGAATAAGAAGAAAAAAAGCCAAACTAACATCAGGCTTCTCATTAACATCATAATCATATCCAACAGAAGAAAACAGGGTATCTTCAACATGTAGAGAAGAAAAAAACCTGTCAACCTGGAATTCTATACCCAGTTAAACTATCATGTAAGGAATTTTCAAACATACAAAGACTACCAGAATTCATTAGATTCTTCACACACACACACACACACACACACACACACACACACAAGGCCTTGTTCTTTTGCACAGTCTAGAGTGCAATGGTGCAATCAGCTCACTGCAGTCTCAAACTCCTGGGCTCAAGTGATCCTTCCACCTTAGCCTCCTGAGTAGTGGGGACTACAGGCACGGGCCCACAGGCCAAGCTAATTTTCCTATTGTTTTGTAGAGATGGGGTCTTATTATGTTGTCCAGACTGGCATAGGTAACACAGCAAGACCCTGGGCTCAAAAGTGATTCTCCTGCCTCAACCTCCCAAAGTGTTGAGATTATGGACTGAGCCACTGTACCTGGTCTTTTTTTTTTTTTTTTTTTTTTTTAAAGAAGTTCAATGGAATTGAAGTGGTGATACATTCAATGAACATGGGCAAGGAATGGCTTTTAATTCAACAAATATTTACTAAGTACCTATTAAGTTCCTGCCACCATGCTATGCATTTGAGATACAAAGATATTTATATATACAGATTCCCTTACCCTTAAGGGATTTAAAAGAGTGACAAGCCATTTTAAAAAATGTGATACATATATCTTTTTTCTTTTTTTGTGTAAGACATTTACCTCTGTGACTTATATTCCAGTTCATTTTATTGAAACTGACAAAAACAACTGCATGTTCTTTAGTAGCAAACCATTTCTAAGGAAAATTGACATCTTCAAAAGCTACTGTGGTTCAGATGGACAAACACAAACACCTGGGCAGGTGGTCAGGTTAAACTAGGGCTTTATATCAGTAATGTTAAAAGTACAGTCCTTAAAAAAATTTTTTTTAAAATTGTATCTTAAAACATAAATAAAAAGAAAAATGTTGATAAAGTTTGAAAGAGATTTGATCCATTTATTTTCTATCACAAAACAAAATGAACACTAAAAGTTCCTAATAAAAAGACTCATCATCCTAGATTATACCCCAAGAAATGATCATTCATTGCTATAAGAAGAGATGGTATTGCTTTACATGAAGGTAAAGGGAGTAAGCAGAAAGAGAAGGAACTGGGCCAACCAAGAAAACTCCATCCTCATATACTGCGATTTCTGGAGCCACAGAGAAATCATGCCAAGTGATGGCAATTTTCAATTATTTATATGTTTACTCTGGGTCTTTATGACCCTGGTAGAATTACAAAGCTCACATTTATACAGATAACATTTTTCTTAAATCGGTTTTATAACTTCTTTAGGAAAATTCAGCTTTTGCAACCATAGCTATCAGACATGGGGATCTTTAATTTTTGCCAAACATTCCACATTTTAACATCTGGTTCTTTTAGGCAATAATAAAGGGAAAATCATTCTTATTTAACATGGGCTAAATAGCTATCTTTTATTTTTAAAAATCTATCTAGTTTCGTATTTCTATTTTAGCAGGGGACTTTAACATTTTACTGAAACAAAGCTGTCTAGATTTTGTATTTAGCCCAATTATATTAAAAAATAGATTTTAGGAATCAATGTGCCACTTAGGCTTATTCTGAATGAAACCCCTAAAGGTTAAACGTACAAACTATGTATGGGTTGGGGGCAGTGTCCTGGATTAGTTTCCAATTGATCCCTTAACAGAGTATCACAAAATTAGTGGTTTAAAACAATATAAATTCATTATCTTATAGGTCTGTAGGTCACAAGCCTAACGTGGGTCTCACAAAGGTAAAGTCAAGATGCCGGCAGGGCTGCATCCCTTTGTGGAGGCTCTGGGATAATGACTTTCCTTGCTTTTCCAGCTCCTTGAGGCTGCTCACAATCCTTGCCTCGTGGTTCCCTTCAAAATCTAGCAACCCTTCTACTCTAACCCTTCTTCATAGTCATATCACCCTCTCACCACAGCCAGGAAAGGTGCTCTGTTTTTAATAACTAATGTGATTAGACTGGGCCCATACAAATAATGCAGGGTCAAAGCGAGTTAATGAACATCCCTAACTGTATACATCCAGTTGACCCATCTCAAGGTCAGCTGATTCAACCTTAACTGCATCTACAACCTTAATTCCTTTTCCTTTTTGCTGGGTAAAGTAGTGTATTCACGGGTTTCAGAAATGAGTTCATAGACATCTTTGAGGGGGGCATTAATTGTTTTCCACTGGCAGGGAGAGTGGGGGGTCTTATCCTGGGTCCACTGACGCTCCAAAGGTTTTGTAGATGGGTTTCAGGGACTTCAGAAAGGGATATCTATGAATCCCCTGAGGCTGTATTTGCAAGGGTATACACATTTGAGCAGGAACACATTTTTCAAAAAAAAAGAGCCCATGACTTTAATCATGTTCTTAAAGGTGTATGTGGCCAGAAAGAATTGAAAAACCGCTGTTTTAAGCAGCAGCACCATTGGTATAGTTTTCAAATAATCTCGTTTTTTGAAAAACAGTATGTACTTTATAAACATTTTGGGGCTCTTGTTAGAAAAGTTGGTTTCACTAAAATAGTGGTGAAACCTTCACAACAGCTGATACAAGATAAATAATGCTGCAGTGCAGTAGCAATTATAACTTACTATAAAACAAAGTACAAGGCTAAGATGAAAATATTCCAGATAATGTGAACTGAACTCAAACTTGTTCATTACTGAACAAAGCTGTGAAGTCATGGCACTATGGCAACACGATCAAGTGGCAATAGTAATGAAGACACAAGTAATGAAAAATTCAGTAAAATGACATGGATTAGGAATTTAAAAGATAACACAGGCACACCTCAGATATACTGC